GTATGTTTGCAACGGCTCTTGTCTGTGAGCTCGAGCTCGATCGGCCTCGGTGCTGGTCGGTATTGCTTCTAGAGCTCGATATGGACTCGGGATCAGGTGATGATTCGGACTCGGTCCCGGTTGGCCTCTGCCCCTTAAGCTCGAAATCATCTCATCATAGTTCGATTCNTCGAAATCATCTCATCATAATTCGATTCGGACCTGAGCTCGATAATGACTTCGAACTCGGTGTTTGACCTATACCTGAAATCTGAAGCTTGTTTGTACCATCTTCGGAACCCATTTCGATATTACGAAGTCTTTTTTCGATCCATTATATTTCGATCTCGATCAATCGTACGAAGGCCGAAATCTATTTCGACCGTATACACTTCCTTTTCTAGAGATTTGCAAATACGTACTAACAAAAAGAGTCCATTTAACCTGTAGTCAAAATTAATGAAATACTGGCTTGTATACCTTTTTGTATGGGTAATCCTAATTATGTGCTTTTGTGTATCCAATTTTGTTATGAACTAAAAAGGTTTTGATTTAGAGAATTTTCACAAAGTGTAAAATACTATTCTAGCAGAATTGATAACTTGGACGTTGTAAACTCCAGAAGTTAATTATTTAAACGGTCATCCAAATTATGGAAATAATGCAATTGTCACTTTATTTGCTGCAACAACTAAATTATACGTTCAACATACTTACGAAAGTCTAATAAGATATTGAGCCAGTATGGGTTAGCTTAACTTATGGTAAATAGCTGATAAACTTTAAGGGTTGAAACAATTTTTATATAAGTAGTTACATTTTTAGATTAAAGTGCTAAAACAAGTACTAATAAACGGTTGATGCGTTTGGTTAAAAAGTACTGATAAACTGTTCTTTGATTAAAATAACTAAATTACTCTTTTTTCTATAAATTTAGAGTTATATTTATAAGAAAAAGGAAGAACGGTAGCTATGAAGTGGAGAGAAAGTTAAGGATTTTATCATCGAAAGGTACTTTTAGTGTCACGTCCCCAATCTCTTACTATAGGATGTCGTGATGACACCTAGTGTGCAGATCCAGATACCTCGACCTAGGCTAGGCACCAGTGAGTAGAGAATTCAGTTTGGAGACTTCAAAGTATACCTGCCCGCCGTTCGCATGCCTCGGAGTCACCCTCTGTCCTTATTTTTCTACTGCTTACTCTTTATTTAGACGATGATGCATTAGGGATTTTACAGTATATTCGTGTAGAGCTTGTGATTCAGTCTCACCAGATTTTGGGAGTTATTGTCAATGGCAGTGGCGGAGCCAGAATTTTTATTAAGAATTGTCAAAATATATAAAAGTAAACATACCGAAAAAATATGGGGAGTCAATACATAGTATATATACATATAATTTTTTTTTACCTACCTATATTTTTCCCGCGAAGGAGTGTCATTTGACACCCCTTCCTGTAAGGTGGCTCCGCCACTGGTCAACGGTATTGTTGAATTCTATTATAAAAGCTAGATGGTTTAAAATTGAAGTTCTATTGTTATTTTCGCTATTTCTCCATGCATGTTAGGCTACCTAGTCTTAGAGATTATGTGTCATCACTACATCCTACGGTGGGATATTGAAGTCGTGACATTTAGAATAATATAGTTAAAAAATTGGTCAAACTAAAGATGCTTATTAATGAAAGATTATAAGTTGGAAATGACCATTTTATGGTTGTTAGTTGATTTTAGCCTATAAACGCTTTAAGTGTTTACCATATGCATAGACAATTATAAGATTAGCTACCCTCCGTAAATCTCCAAAAGATTTTGTGTATATTTTGGTAGAATTGTGAGAGTTGATTCATTTTAGAATCTATGCATTCCCCTGTTATAAAAGGCATGGATCCCAAAACAATCATCCTATTCTCAATACTTGTAGTCAAAGCTTTTCCAATTCTTGAAATTGTAAAAAAAGTTAAGTATGAGAAACCTTTGCCTTTTGCTCATTTTTCTTACATTGTTGAGTTGTGCAAATTTAATACCCCTAGATGCAAGGAAGATGGCTATTACAGAAACAGATCATAGTGTTCTTGAGGGTAACAATATTGTTGAAGTTGATAGAATTTATCAGAGTTTCAAATCAGCTCCATCCCCTGGAGAAGGTCATCTTCCAAAGCACAAACATTCATAGTCTTTTAGTTGGGTCTCAGTACGGCTGCAGGTGGGAAATAAAACACAAAACAAACATAATCCTTTAGGATATGGAACTAGCTAGTAGAGCCAGATCTAGCTGTAATTAAAGGATTAGTCCATTACATGTGTCTGATTAAATTGTAACAAGCACATGAATATGCAATAATCCTTTAATGAAATGTTTTTCTGTTTCTTCAAGTTTGACTAATTCTTGTTGATGTTCGGCCAGAAGATACCCATTGTTGCCTCACATTCTAGTATTTTTAATTGGCTTTTGAGTATTAATTATATTACTTTATGTTAATATTATATTTTAACTATGTAGGAATAAAACGGTATAAAAATAAAAAGATTTGGAGCAAAATTAAATAAATACGAAAGAAAAAAAGAAAGGAAAAAGAAAAGAATCCAAAGCGGGACCATAATGATGGGAGTAATGATTACATAATGATTGGCTTTCATGGTTAATAATGATATAATTAAAGAGATAAAACAAAAGGAAAAGAAAGAGAAAGAGGCATCATGTTACGCGGCGCCTTCCTGAGATTCCTTGAAAGTGCGGCGTAAGGCTAAGGAATCACTGTCTGTGGAGTTACTATCCGTCAACTGAGGTCCCCTCCGTACGCTGGACGAGATTATCAGTGCCGTACGGGAAAACAAATGTCAAGAGCAATTGAGAGAACAAAAAAAAAGAATTGAGAATGAAAGAAAGCTTGATTGCATTAATGAAAGCTATTACAGAAAAGCAACACGGTATCGAGGGAATACCTAACGACGAATTTGATCCAGCAATCAAGCCTTCAAGGCTTCTTCCAAGTCGATTTTTGCCTAAAACCAGGGGCGGATCTAACCTTAAGCTTATGGGCCCCCGTGACCGGTAGTTTTTGTTCAAGCCTTATTGAGAAATTCACTAAATATATATAAATATTTGACTGTGAATCTAGTTATTATTGTATATATAATTTGAGATTGTTGTAGAAATCCATAAACTTCAAATTTTGAACCCGCCTCTGTCTGAAACCATTTATAACCCTCGGAATTTAGAAGAATTACATTCCTTAATTTTGTGACCTTTTGAATTAAAACATGAGGGTCCATCTCAAATTTGAAGGGATTCTGGCACTAACAAAATGATGTACGTTACAAATCTATTTGATGTATTCAAATTGCTAAACTGAAGAGGACCAGAAATAATACAATACACCACCGTTTACGGCACATTAATTTAATTTCTTGAATTCAAGAATGACATAGTAGTATCTATTATTAGCACGAGATAATATTGGGTAAATTTCACAAATAGTCATATAGCTATGATTTTTTTCACAAAAGTCATATAATTGTAATTTCTCACATAAAAATCATAAAACTTTCACTAACTAACACACAAATCATAGTGACCGAAAAACATAATTTTTCGGTAGTATTTTCTTATTCCACATTTTTTTATTTTTAGTCTAGTAAATAATAATTCAATTAAAATAGGAGAAATACATATTTTTAATCGCTTCCAAAAAAAATATCCGATATATATNATATGCATATAATATACATATTCTATTTTTTTTGCTAGCGAATGCAATTAGTTTCGGTACTAGGTATTTTTATATTTTTTCCTTAAAATAGGAATGACCCAATCCAACTTAGCCAATAACTATATACATAAATTAAAATACTAAAAGTGAATCCTTCCCTCCAAAAAAAATTAATTTGAATGCATGAGATTCTGACAAAAGAAAGAAAGAAATAAAAGTATAATTAGTGAGCACTTGAAACAAAAATACTATCAATTTGAATGAGATTTTTGAAAGAAAATAAAAGATAGACGTATCGTGTTTTGAAGGATTCACTTTTATTATCATTTTAGTTTATATATATGGGTTTTGGGTCGGGTGATCGGGTCGGGTTGGGTCATTCCTATTTTAATTGGATTATTACTTATTAGACTAAAAATAAAAAATAAAAAATTGTGGGATAAGAAAATACTACTGAAAAATTATATTTTCCGGTCACTTTGATTTTGTGTGACTTAGTAAAAGTTTTATGATTTTTGTGTGGAAAAACAAAGTTATATGACTTTCGTGAAAAAAAATCAAATTACATGACCATTTGTGAAATTTACCCGATAATATTCAAAAATTGTTACACATGTACTACAGACTGTTTCTCTAGTTACTATATTAATATACTCCATCAGTCACTCTAATGTAACTTAAAATATTATTGTAGATTATTTAAGAACTATATTTTAGTATGTTAGTAACATAGTAGACTAAATCCGGGCAGCTTGTTGTAAATCTGTGATATTACTGTAATTTAATCTTTTAGCAGTAGTAGATTATATTCTCTATACCTTACGTTAGCATATTATACTTGCTCTAAATAGGTTGTTGTAGATCAACTTAATATGAGAATGTCGAAAATTATATAGGTCAATACATCGAAGTTGACCGACTTTCTTAATCATTTAGATTTAGCTACGGAAAACAGACTCACAGTATAGCAATTATCGATCATATGAAACAGACACCGGGTGAGAAACAAAAAGGAAGAACTATGGATCATATGTATATGCTCAAATATTTTACTTGATTTTTGGGATCTATCTTCTGTTGATTTCAACTATCGATCATATTCGTAAAACTTTGTTATGTACATTTCTTGATTGTTTATACTATTGTGATACAAGTACATTTGTATAGAAAGAGCTTCATGGTACTAAAGGAAGAAAGGTGCAAGCAGTCTCCCTTAATTTGCTTATGCATCCAAAATTAAGATGTACATATCTAGGCATAAAAAAAAGATCTCCACCTAGAATAGCAATAGGTTCTTCTTTTCTTGAGGAAAAAACAGGACAATGTACCTTTGAGCAAAGCTCAATTTAATTACATATCTGCAGATTCAGAATGGAATATCTAATACTCTAGCAATCCAGTTCTGAAAAGAACTACAGTCCTTAATTTTCCTCTGAATTATCCAATGAAAAAAGAAAATAAGATCTTGGTCCATATGTCAACTAAGCCAGAACCTAATGAAGGGAAGTCTTCGAAATTCTCCCATAGTTGATCGTTATAAAACTGAGGGTCTATCTCAAATTACAGTGGATTCTGGCAATATGAATGTACGTTATAAAACTAATTAGTCTATGCAAACTTTATCGCAAATGGTCAATAGAACAGTTAAACTAAAGATAAAGAAAAAACAATACACCACCATTTGCGCGCTATATGATAAATTCAAGAATTGCTTAGTACTGATACACTATCAAATACTAATAAAGACACTTGCTTTGGTGAGGAAGAATGCAGAAGGAAGCTATCTCTGAATATCAGCATTATTGTCTTCATATACTAGTTCTCTCCATGTTGTTGAACATTCAGCTCTGCCCCTGCATATAAAAAAGGAAGAACAGACATGTCAATTACCAATCACAAAGTTCCAAGGAATATCGATTAAATGACTTAACTAAAATATACGTATTGACAAGGTACCAACCGAGGTCTTCCCCAATCCCAGGGCCACATACTTTGTATTTACCTTCTAATTATGGCCTGCAATTCTCTTCTCCTTTGCTCAATTCTTCTTCTCCATGGTAACATAACCACTACCCTTCTTACTCTTTTTGTCAGTTTTCTTCTCATTCTTCTTCCTTTCACCCTCCTGTTCACCACCTTCTTTCCCAACTGTTTCGTCACTGCTCTTCTTCTTATTCTAATTGTCTTCTTCCTCTTCAAGTTTTCTACCCATTTTCCCCACCATTTCTTCACACCACCCATCTTCTTTGACCACTTTGTCACTTTTCTGGTTCTCATTCCCAAAGCTGCAGAGCTTGTTGGTTCTCTCATAAAACAACTGAATTTATAGATGTAGCAGTTATAAAGCAAGTCGGTTCTTTGGTAACATATTGTATTAGCTGACTCTATACTTGCAAGCATTCCTCTTATTTTGGAAATTTACCGTATCTGTGTAACTTAACCTGTTATAGAAAATTATTCAGACTATATTTCATGTTAGCATATTACACTTACTTTAAACTGGTTCTTATAAGTCAGGTCAATATGGTAGTCTAGGCAAATATATACGTAAATACACAAATGTTAAACGACTTTCTTAATCAAGTAGATTTAGCGATCAGGAAAGCAAAACAGAAAAGGAAAATAATTCAATTATATGAGGAGAAATTTGAGAAGTTTCAAACTTACCCCTTAAACTTTAATATAGAGAGAATACTACTTTACAATTTTAAGAGATTGTTTTACTCCTTTGGGTTTAATTTTTATGCGCTGATATTGTAATCAATTTTGTATGATAAATTTTTTTTGGTTTCCCACCCAGTGTTTGGTACTCGCTTTAGGATCAGGCAAATCGGGATTCGCACTAGAAAGTCCTATTTTGGTGGGATAAAGGGCTCCATGAGTGTTCAAACTTGAAAGAAGTATAAACAATTCCTGGCAAAGGGTGTTCAATATATGTTATATACCTCTAAAACTTGATATTTTACCTATATACGCAGTTTAATTTTTGCATATAAATTTTTCAACAAAGGGTGGTCAATTAATCGCCCTAACCAAAGTGTGGCTTCACCGCTACTCCCTACCAAAGGCAACTACACACACCCATGGCTCGAACTCGAGACCTCTGATTAAGGATAGAAGAATAGTTACAACTCCACCACAATATTTGATGCTTTTTATGATAGATCACTTAAACTTAAAGTTAGAAAAAATAAAATTTTAATACTTGAGTTATTGCATTATTCCAATTTTTGGTACCTGTTAAATAATTTTAACGTTCAATTAACTCAAAAGTGATTTCAATTCCTGAAGTTTAACCAAAGTTAAATGCTCTTGATTTGAAGTTTTACTGTATCTCAATATTTTAACTTATTATAATAAATTATTTACTCCATATTTCATGTTAATATATTACACTCACTCTGAATAGGTTGTTGTAAATTAGTTTAATATGATAGTGTAGAAAAATATACACATCAATACACATAAGCTAAAAGTCTTTCTTAATCAATTATATTTAGCTATCGAGAAAGGAAAATTAAAAATGCAAATAAGTTAATTCTACGAGGACAAAATTAAAATAATTGGCTGAAAAGAACCATTGACAGTAGTACGATATAGAAAGGAATTTCTCATAACTGTTTCATACTACATATCGATATTGAGCCCGTACTTCTTTACCCTACTTATGGATGAGCTAACTAACAATCTTTTTCAGACAAATTTGTTAACCGGCAAAAATTGCAAGGGTATCAACTAAAAGCTTGAACTATGGAGAAGCGCTTTAGAGAGAAAAGGTTTTAGAATAAGTAGAAGTCCAACTGAATGTACATTTTAGCCAAAAAATAAAAAGTGATGCTGAGATGAGACTAGAGGGGATTGTGGTGCCTAAATGTAAACAATTCAGAGATCTAGGCTCGATGTTCTAAGAGAACGGTATGATTGATGAAGATAGTACCCATAAAATCAAAATAGGATGGTTGAAATGGAAAATGCGGCAGGAGTATTATTTAATAGGAGGATTTACCTACCAGTGAAAGGCTAGTTCCATAGAACAATAGTAACGGCAATATTATACGGGAGTGAATGTTGCGGGTCCAACATATACACAAGATGGGTAGAGCATAAATGCTGATTTTAGGATGGATATGCAGTCATACAAGTTACACAACATTAAAAATGATCACATTCGTCAAAACATGTAAGTAGCACCCATGGAGTATAAAATAAGAGAAGACTGTTTTTGATGATTTAGAGGGGTCATTCAACAACCTCTAGATGCATTGGATTGTAGGTGTGACATATGGTGACCGGAGGTGTTTTAATGGACGAGATGGACCTAAAATCACATAAAATAAAATTGCCTAGAAAGACACTGCAGCTGATACTTATACCTATTTAAATTCTACTTTATTTCTCCCCACAAAAAAAAAAAAAAAAAAAAAAAAAAAA